GATAAAACCGTTATTGTATGCTACGCTAGCCAATAACTCCTAATGAATTATTTTACAAATAATTCTCGTTATTGTCTACGCATTCAATAACTATATAGTATTACATAATATATACTCTATTATTTTCTTTTAGAATTTGTTCGGGTTCTGCCGTTAGTATGAATCAATGGCTTCAGTGGTTATGTCATATATCCGAATTCTGATCCCATCAAGGAGAAGTCATTCTCGTTATAGAAAGTGATTGGTTATAGGAAGTGATTGGTTCCATAATAAAAATTTGTTAAAATTCCATTATATCGAAATTTATTAGCGTATAGACTGGCTTTGAGAAGAGTTCAACTATCTGACTGTATACTTATTTGGGCAAATACAGTACGCCATTGACTATACGTAGCATCCTCCTGTTATAACATCCCCATGAAAAAGACCCGGGCAATTCATGGATTCACAATTTATTGAAAAAAAGACTGGGGTTATTTTGTAAACAAATGTGTTAATAAAAAATTTGATACCTATTAATACAGTAATATAGTATAGAGTATACAAACCTACAATATATAATTCATTATATGATTAATCAATTGAACCGCAGGATCTTGTATATCTCTTAAAAGCCCATGATAGGTTTACATAATAAATTTTAAGTAAAAATTTTCATTACACATATATATATATGCATATTCTAACCTTAACTCCAACTCTACTCTTTAAAATTTAATGTAAATTTAATTTATAAAAATAAAAATTTCCATATCTGAAAAAAAAATTAAAAAATCGCCAATTTCTTATGTTCAGCACACAATTTTACACCTTTTCAAATACAAAAACCCTAACCCTAACCCTAACCTAACCTTAATTTAAACTAAACTATAACCCTCACCCTAACCCTAACTATTTATAAGTTTGCTTAAATTAGTTCAAATAGTTATTTTTATATATTATAATTTTATATTAATTATATATATATTGCCCACCTATACTATAGATCAATCAATCGGGATAGAAATCACGTTCATTCCAATACAAAACTAACATAAATCAATTGTATCACTATAACTCGTAAGTACAGTAAACCAGAATTTTTACAGTAAATCACTATAGAAATCACATTCATTCTAATACAAACCTAACGTAACCATATCTAATCACCACAATATATAGTTTGTAAGAATTTTTTACAGTAAATCATTATAGAAATCACAAAACTAACATAACCATATCTAAATCACTTGTATCACCACAATAGTTAGTACGCAAGTACAGTAAATCAGAATTTATAATAATAAGAAATAATATAAAAATCCGCTATTACCAGGCATGAGCATGTTATTTATATAATCTATTTTTATAATTGAATCATCTATCTCTTTATCATTTTGCCTTGTACAATATCCGACTCCAATCATTACATCGAGAAATAGAATAAAAAATTATAAAAAAAAAAATGCAGGTGTATCTATGTCAGGAAATAATTAACATACCCATTTTTTCCTTTATTTATAATATTAATTTCAAAGTAAAATATCCCACACTGTGAAGGAATTGGATTATTTGCTCGAATTATAGCAGCTATATTACCATCAGAATCTTTAGAAAAGTTTTTTTTTTAATAAAATAGCTATGTATTATTTTGTAATCAAACTACAAACAATTAACACTCATTAAATTGAGATGTTAATTCGATCTAATATATTTTTGAGAGATTTCTCTTTTCTCACCTTTATCTTACCAGTATAATTCGTTCTCAGTCCACTTGAATCTTATGTTAATCGATGGTGAATTATTTTCAATATCCATGCGGTCGGTAAAGTTAATTCTAAATACTCTATTGAAAATTCTTTCAAGGTTTTTGTTTATACGATTAGTAAACCGATTTTGTACGTGAACACGACAAGCATTCATTATCGAACACAAAGTACTATTTATGCGTATGCAATATCTGTGTACATCAGCGCTAGCCAAAGTGATGATCGATAACTCATCAATATTAAAGGCAGAAGGATAGAGGCGACAAGTATCCATAAACTAAAATTAAATAAAATGATAGAAAAATAGATATTTAAAATCTTCCAATTGCTATGAATAATAAATATACACATATTGGTTATCATAATAAAAATTTAAGGCTAGCTTCATTTGATCGTGTAAAGGTGATAAAGGTAAGCTGATATCATTTAAATGCTATTGAATAAGACTGTTACCTACTCGAAATAGAAGAATAAAAAATTTCTAAAAGCTTTACTATTTTATAAACATTTCTAATACAATAAAAGTTTTGACTATTTATAAATACAAAAACCAACTTACAATATAAAAACTTTAAATGCTAGAAAATATTAAATTGATTTTGCACGTATTTTTCAATTGCATAACAAATTTGGATTTCGACATCCAAATAATTAGTGTAATATAAATATGCCTACAGGGCTTATAAAAATACGCCATAATATTAGTTTAAAACTTTCGATGCTCGTCCCTCACAATAATAATTGAAAGCAACATATGGAGGGATGTCAGTAGAAAACAAGCAAATTGTCTCTAATTTTTTTTTAAACTATAAATTAAAATATCTCAACAACTATTAAACCAAACTTGACAAAAATTTTTTATAGAATTTATCAAGTTTTGTTGTTGAGATATTTTAATTCAAGTTTGCTAAAATGCACCTATGGTGTTCAACACCATAGGTCCCTATTTCTCAAAAACGTACTAAGTAAACGGGATCGGGTATTCTAAGTAAAAATGATCAGGACCCCCAAAAACCTTATAAAAACTAAAATTAAAACCTTATATCTAATCTACATTATATAATATATAAAAAAAATTATTAAAAAATGCACCTAACCTTAAATTTTATTAAAAACAATTATATATGGTGCTAAACACCATAGATGCATTTTATAATAATTGAATAAAATGGCATTAACCTATCACGTGGCTAGCTATGTTTTTTTATCAAATTTTATCATGAGTATTATCAGCATCTCTGATATGAAACAGACTTTAACCTCATAATTTTAATGCTTAATTTTTCACTGTATCATATACAAATCTAAAGATAACGTTAAACAAAGTTCTGAATTTAAACGATTTTAAATCTGCTTTTACTTTATTTTATATAATCTTTTATTAAATTCTTTAAATTGACAGTCTTGTAAAATTACTATAATAAGTCAATTATTAATATATATTAATATTTATCTCAAGTTGACTCACAACTTCCTTTGTAAAAAAAAAATATAAAAAAATTTTTATAGTATTCTAATAAACTTTAATGGTTCACACCATTAGGTGTAATGTTTTTTCTATTCTTTTCATTTTGGAATCCAAGAACAGTTTCAATTACATCTATCATAATACTTGAACACAAATCTGTACCCTTATCTTGCGCCAACTTTTGTGCGATGTGAATAACATTACGAATCTCACGACCATTCAACTCATAATTAACAAAGTCATCTGCCTTGAAAGGAAGATTACCACGTCTTATGAAATTAGCCCATGTTCCAAGTCTTTCTTTTTCATTGAGTTTTGGGTAATGGAAGAACATGCTAACTCGTGAACAGATAGCATCATCAAAATTTGTAACTCGATTTGTTGTCAAAAAGAGGACTCCTAAAAAGTGGAAGAAACAAATAAGAATGGTAATAAAGGTAAGCATCGCATAAGCAGTAACGAGCGAAATAGAAAATGAATGCTAAATTTTATACCTTGATAATATTCAAGCAGACGTAAAAATACACCAACCATCGCATTACGTTCTATATTGATTGTATCACGCTTTTCGAGATAAATATCAGCCTCGTCAAGTAGGAGGACAGCCCTCCATTTATGAGCGATATCTAGGACTTTAGTCAAATTTACTTCTAGTCTGTTTAAAGAAGTGAAGGTGTAATATATTAACAAGGATGATAAAAATTATTAAACAGATTCCCTTGACACAATATATACAGTATATATATATATATATATTGAGTTTAATTGACTGTAGATCGTCAGGTAGGGTGAAAGTTTGATGGCATACTGAGAGCTGCAGTACTTTCCTACCAAATATAACAACCATTTTACACTTAAATAAAATTAAGCAAAGTTTT